CCAAGGAGGCTTGGGAGGGCCCCAATGGTAAGGAGTGGAAGAAGGCCTCAGATGAGGAAATGGGGAGCACGTTTGACTTGGTGAACCTCCCTCCGTGGCGTAAGGCGATTTCTTCCAAGTGGCTCTTCAAGCGCAAGACCGACGCCGACGGCAACATTGAGCGCTACAAGAGCAGACTTGTAGCCAAGGGGTACCAGCAAGAAGAGAAGAAGGACTACAATGAAGTATATGCTCCTGTGGTGAAGGGTACAACCCTTCGAACTCTCTTCGCCGCGGCGGCCATCAAATGATGGGTGGTGAAGCAAATGGACATCGTAACGGCCTTCCTCAACGGAGTTTTGGAGGAAGAGGCCTTCATGGAGCAGCCAGAGGGGTACAATGATGGGAGTGGCAGAGTGTGGAAGCTGAAGAAAGCACTCTATGGCCTCAAGCAAGCCCCTAGGCAATGGTACATCAAGTTGCGGGGAGTCTTGGAGGTGATCGGCTTCACTCCCTCAACGGCCGATCAATCCTTGTTCATGCTTGGCGAGGGGGAGCAGAGGAGCTTCATGGTGGTTTATGTGGATGACATCCTCGTATTCTCACCCTCCGCTAACCTTGTGAAGGAGGTGATGCTGAAGCTTTAAGACAAGTTCAAGTGCAAGACCCTTGGGGACGTCAACTTCTACATTGGGCTTCACATTGAGCGAGATGTGGAGAAGCGGTGGATGCGAGTGCATCAAAAGAAGTACTTGGAGTCCTTGGCTGCAAACTTTGGGAAGAATGAGGGTCATGTAGCAACTCCTCTACCTTCGGGGTTCAAGTGTGTGAAAGGATCAGCGGAGGAAAGTGTTGGTGAAGAGGAGAGGTGCCGTTTTCACTCCTTGGTGGGCAGCCTCATGTATGCGGCCGTTCACACAAGGCCGGATGCAGCCTTTGCTACCGGGCAGCTGGCTAAGGTTGTCCAATGCCCTCATGAAGAGCAGGTAGCAGCTGGAGAGAGAGTGGCCAAGTACCTTGGCCAAATAGCAACTGTTGGACTGCAATACTCCGCGGCGGCACAAAGGCGTCAAAAGGGTGCGGAAGGAGTCGAACCCGGGAGGCTCTTTCTCACCGCCTTCTCTGATGCATCTCGGGCATCAGAACCAGAGGATATGACAAGTGTGGGAGGCTTCATCTGCTGTGTTGGTGGAGGCCCAACCGCTTGGGACAGCAAGAAACAAGTGGATCAAGCATTGAGCTCGGTGGAGTCGGAGTACATGGCACTCTTCCGTGCCATAAGAGAGGTTGTGTGGCAGCGGCGTTTGCTAGCTGAATTGGGGGAGGAGCAGCAAGGACCTACCCCAATCTATTGTGATAGCCAGGAACAAGAGCGTCAAGACTCGAGATAGGAACAAACAGGTCGGTAACGAGGGAGGCAAGGACACGAGGAACAAGAGGACTAGCGACACGAAAGAAGTCAAATAGAGGAGGCGAAGACACAATAAGCGATGACGGAGGAGGCGATAGGAGGAGGGGAGGACGAGATGTGTGGGAACGAAGCAACATAGGGTAAGAGTGCTGAACAGGAGACAGGACGAGCGCGAGAGAGATGGCAAGACCAGAAGTGGGATGGAGGCATCGGGTCAGGAGACACAGGAGGAGACACAGGATGAGAATGAGGGGAGAAATTAGCCGGAGATGAGCCCGGCAGAGGAACACGGAGCCGTAGACAGGCAAAGGAGGCGGCGGCGAGGAAGGCTCAGGAGGGTGGTCAGGGGAGGAAAGACCGAGGAGGCGAAGGGCGGAAACCGACAGTGACTGCTGCTGCGGTTGCTGCTCCGCGCCGACACCAGAACCTCCAACTTTACCACGGCTACCTCCAAGACACTCCACGCCAACATCCCCAAAGCGAGAACCCTCTTTAGCACTGACGCCACCCCCGGGACCGCCGGGACGAGCCACGACAGTAACCCCAGGAATAGCACCCCCTGAACCAGCACTCTCAAAACGAGAACCCTCTCAAGCACCAGTGCCACCCCCAGGACCACCGGGACAAGTTATGAAAGGAACCCCAGGACGAGCACCTTCCTCAATGGCCGCACCCCCAGAGCGTGCGGACCCCTGCAACGGCGGCGACGGCGGTGGCTGCTGCGCCAGCAGAGGAGGAGACACCGGGGCGGAGACAGGCGGCGAGAATGGCGTTGCAGGGCAACCAGAGTCAGCCAACTCCTCGACCGAGACAACCGACGTGAGGGGAGTGACGTAAGACACACAAGACGGGCCAGGACGTAGAGGGAGGGGAGCATGGGCTATCGGGGGAGTGGGAACCAGAAACAGGGGTGGGGAAAGCGGTGGTAGCCCTTGATGTGGAATGCAGACGCGTCACCAGGGAACCCGGTCCAAAAGAGGGTCCGCGAAACATGCGGCCGCTGTGAGTGTGGCCACAGGTTAAGCTGGTGAGCGGCGTAGCGAACTGCGAACGGCCACAAAAAATGGAGTGCATTGGCATGGATCATGGAGGTACGAGCCACCTCTATGACCAAACCAATGCATCGCTCAATGACCCCATTCTGCTGCGGGGAGTCCAGCAGGGTGTACGACTGGGTGATGCCATCCGCACAACAGAACTGGCCAAGCTGACCAGTGGCAAACTGGCCGCCATGGTCGGAGTGGAGACGAAGGACTGGGAGGCCGTGGTGGACTCGCACAGCTATGACCCACGAGATAAGAACATCAGGCACGTCGGCCGTCCGCTCCAGGGGAAACACCGTGGTGTAGCACGTAAAGTCGTCGACAAGCACTAGAAATTAGTGCTCGCGAAGCGGCTCAGGGACAGGGGCGGGACCCCAAACGTCCAGGTGCAGGGTCTGGAGTGGCGCAGTGGTAGGGGGGAGCGTGGAGGAGTGGGACGCACGGCACAGCCAACCCTCGACGCAAGGCGTGCACGGCGGCGCAAGCGCGGGAGGGAGGGTAGGGAGCGACGCATAGAGACCACGGACAAGCCCGTCATAGGACGTGACGCAGACACGGGAGAGCAGGGGGACCTAGGCGGTGGTGCCACTGTAGTGAAGGGTGGGTGAGCAACCGACACGACCAGGCTGCAGCTACCTGAAAGGACGCGGCGACCTGGGGGGGCGCTCCCACCTGGGGGGACGCAGTGTCCAACGTGAACAGGCCAGACACGAGGTCTCTATCGCGGACAGGGCAGTGACAAAGGCATGGAGGGTGAGGTCACCTAGGTGCTGACTAAGGAAGTGGTCGCGGGCAGTGGCTAGGCCATCTGGCTGGTGCGTAGCAATGAGGTAAAAGGTAGCGCAGAGCGGTGGCGGGAAGGCAGTGAGCTGTGCCTCAGTGCTAGCGGCGCGGTAGCAAGTCTCCCATGTGCGGAGGTGCGTGGCAAGGTCAGCGACAGTGGGGAAGGACGCAAGGTCAGGGAAAAGCATGTGGAGGATCAGGCGGCCTGCAGAGGCTGAGGCAGGGGTGGAATAACGCGCGATGACAGCATCTAAGTAGTCCTTTGCGTTCACTAGCGGTAAAGCGGGGACGCTCAGATAGGGTGAGGGCGTGCTAATGGCAAGCTGAGCAACAGCGTCACGCGAATCCCAGACAGCACAGGCAAGCTCGGTAGTGACAAAGCCTCACGCTCCGCAGACGTGGGGGCGTCAGGGAGGGCAGCAGGCGGGGCAGGGCGTGGGAGCTTACCGTCGACGTGGACGGCCACTGGCGCTGCCCGGTAAGCTGGCAGCGGAGGTCGATGAGCCACGCCTCAAACTCAACGGCCCGACCCTTCGCGTCTAGGCGAAGCACACTGTCCGCCATCGCCACAGCTGCAGCAGCTGACAGCCGCTGGAGGCAGAGGAGAGCGGTGGGGAGCGGTGGAGAGCCGTGGAGAACGGTGGTGTGCGGTGAAGAGCGGTGGAGTGCGGTGGAGTGCGGTGCTGAGCGGTGACGTGTGGTGGAGAGCAATGGAGACTGCCGTCGGGAGCGCCGGCTCAGAGGGGAGCTAAGGCCGACAGGTGGGGGCGGCAGAGCGGCTCGGCGGCGCAGCGACCCGTCGTCACGGCGGCACTGCGGCACGGCTGCCCGGCGGCTCGGCAACACGGCTTCACGGCGGCACTGCGGCGGAGGCGCGGCGGCTCGGCGGCATGACAGCTGGAGGACGCGGGGCTGGCGAGCGAGGGGCCGGCGAAGGCGGGGCCAGCGGGTGTGGGGCTGGCTAGCGGGGGGCTAGCAAGCAGGGTGCTGGCGGACGCAGGGCTAGCGAGCGAGGGCCAGCGAGCGCGGGGCCAGCGGGCGCGGGGCCAGTGAGTGCAGGGCCAGCAAGCGAGGGGCTGGCGAGCGCGGAGCTGGCGACGGGAGGGCCGACGGGCGACGGGCCAGCAGGCGCAGGGCTGGCGCGCGCGAGGCCAGCGAGCAGCGGGGCTGGCAAACGCGGGGCTGGCGAGCGCGGGGCCAGCGAGCGACAGGGCTGGTGACGGGTGGCTGGCGCGTACGGGCGGCCAGCAGCTACAGGCCACTTGCGGCTAGCGGCCAGCGGCGGTGAGCGGCTTGAGGCTAGCAGAGGCGGCTAGCGACGGGCGGCTAGGAGCGGGCAGGCTAGCGACGGGTGGCTAGCGACTAGCGGTTAGGAACGGGCGGCTAGAAACGGGCGGCTAGGACTAGGACTAGGGCGGAAGCGCGGGTGGGCGGGGAGGACCTAACCTAGCGCGTGATACCATCTCAGAGTAATGAATTGAGTATGATTAGGGGATACAAGGGGATATAACCTAAGGTGTTGTACTCTATGAGCATGCACCTATCTAGCCTATAACATATCCAATTATATGTTGACAGCGCGCACATCAAATCCAGCAGTTTTCAGCTCGTTGCTGGCTGGCCCCCCTCTTGCCTGGAACGGCCAACCAGCCTGGGTACCCAGGAGAAGCAAGCCATGGAGCATCGATCACTATATATGCATGGTAAATGGGCAGTCAAGGCCATGCATACATGCAGAATCCAGTGACTCTCGGCTGGCTGAGCATGTTAACGTAGAAACGAATGATTACTAGAGGTGGAAACCTAGAACAAATACTAGTTGGTTGTACTCACTAGAAGCATACCTCAGTCTAGCCTATAACTTCTACATAGATAATATGTATAAGTTGACACACCCCCTAGGCTAGACAAGGGGTGAAACTAAACAAGAAGCAAACAGCTCAGGGCGGCACTACTAGTCCAACCACTGAGGCAGGGGTCTGGAGACCAGTCAGCAAGAATACAACCAAAACTGAAGCAAGCCAGGGTGGCACTACTAGTCCAGCCACTGGAGGTAAGGCCACAAGGCCAGTCTGACAAGCATATATAATAGAGAGTACACAATCAGGATCCTAACAGGGGAGCAGCTATAGGAACAAGACCAAGCTGTACACAGTGCCGCTGATGATCTTTAGGCGCAAGCGCCTTAGTAAAGATATCAGCTGTGTTGGCACCTGAGGCCAAGTGAACTACGCGGGCCTGGCGGCGCTGCTGTAGCTCGCGCAGGAGGAAGTACCGCAGCTGGATATGCTTCGCTCTGCCCTCAAGCCGAGGCTCCTGACACAGGAGTATCATGGCCCTGTTGTCAGCGTACAGGACCGGGGCAGAGCTAGGCCGCTCACCTAAGTCTGTGAGCAAGAAGGTCAGCCAGCGGAGCTCCTGTGCCGCCATGGCACCAGCGTAGATCTCAGCCTCACAGCTAGACTGAGCCACAGACGACGAGCGAGTGGATCTCCAAGAGATAGCACCCGAACCAAGGCTGAAACAGTAGCCCTGCGACGACCTGAGCGTCTCAGCGTCGTCTGCCCAAGAAGCGTCTGTGTGCCCAGTAAGGACCACTGGCCTGCGTCCTCCTAGCACTAACCCCATGCCTGATGTACTAGCAAGATAACGCAAAACCCTCTTAGCGGCAGACCAGTGCTGAGGTCGGTGTCTGCCTGTAGCCACAAAGCGAGCCAGGATGCTGAGAGGGTATGCGAGATCTGGGCGAGTGCAAGTCATCAGGTACATGAGGCAACCCACCAGCTCTGCGTAGGGGCCACTGGGCTCTACTGGCTCCTCAGGAACGGGAGCAGAGAGCCCATGGTCTACGGGTAGAGGTGTGGGCTGTGCGGAGGAGAACTGAAGACCGAACCTCTGAAGGACCTGACGCACCAAGTGTGACTGGGTCAGAGTGATGGTGCGTGCTGCTCTGTCCCTAGAGATCTGCAGGCCAAGATAGCGACGCAGCTCTCCAAGGTCAGTGCAGGTGTGTCTCTTCAGCAGCTCAGCCTTCACAGAGGCCAGTGCGTCCCTGTCAGGAGTAGCGAAGACCAGGTCGTCTACGTAGACAAGGATGTAGAACGGAGTCTGGCCGGAACGCACAAACAGTGAAGGGTCAGCAGAGGACGGAAAGAACTGCAGGTCTGCTAACGTGGCACGTAGCGTGTCGTGCCACTCGCGGGGAGCCTGACGCAGGCCGTAGACCGGGCGCCTGAGAAGCCACTGGGTCCCAGGAGGGAAGGTACCAGTGAAGCCCTGTGGTCGGCGCAGGTAGACCTGCTCGTGTAGGCTGCCCTGAAGAAAGGCAGTAGAGAAGTCGAGGGAGTGAAGCTCGTAGTCACGCTGTGCTGCTACGTGTAGCAGCGCCCGAAGAGTGGTCATCTTCGGGGTCGGGGCGAAGGTCTGGAAGAAGTCAACCCCCTCACGCTGACTGAAACCTCTGGCCACGTAGCGCGCCTTGAAGACAGGCGGCTCTCCAGGGGGGCGCTTCACCTTGAAGAGCCACCGACCATCGACTACGTTCACCCCAGGCGGGGGAACTGCGTCGACGTAAGTGCCGGTGGATCTCCAAGATTCCATCTCCTGCTCCATGGCAGCTATCCACTGAGAGGCCCAAGGTCCCGAGGTGGCCTCAGCGTAGGTGCGAGGGGTCGGGATGTCGAAGGCGTCTGGGTCACCCTCAGGGACTAACAGCATGGAGCAGAGATGGGGAGCAGCCTCGGAAAGGAAAGCCAGCTCGTACTGCCTGTCCTCTAGGACGTCACTGCCAAGGGCAGGAGCACCCCCGACGGACAGAGGACGGGCAGGGTCAGAGACCAGAGCGGTAGCGTAGTCAAGGCGGCGGGTAGAAGCGAAGTCAGCGACAGCAGCGACAAGCGCGTCAAGGCGCGAGACAGGAACAGCAGGGTCGGTAACAAGAGAGGCAAGGACCCGAGGGACAAGGGGACGAGCAGCACGGAGGTAGTCAGAGAACGGAGGAGGTGCAACAGCAAGGGACGAGGGAGGAGGGGACGGGAGGAGGGGAGGACGAGACGAGTGGGAACGGAGCAACATAGGGTGGGTGGGCAGGACAGGAGAGACGGGACGAGCACGGGAGGGACGGCGAGCCCAAACGTGAGACGGAGGGGTAGGGTCAGGGGACAGCGGAGGAGACACAGGAGGGGAACGAGGAGGAAGACGGGCCGGAGACGAGTCTGGCGGCGGGAACACAGGACCGTAGACAGGGAGGTCAGGAGGCGGTGGGGGAGACACCGGCGCGCGGTCCGGGGAGGGAAGGCCGAGCAGGCGGAGAGCGGAAACCGGCGGCGACGGCTGCTGCGGCGGCGACGACGGCTGGGCCGGAACTCTCGGACCAGCAGAGGCAGAACGACCGTCGGCAGAACACTCAACAGCAGCACCCCCAGAACCAACACCCCCAGAGCGAGAACCCCCTCCAACACCAGCGGCACCCCCAGGGGCCGAGAGCAGCGGCGGCAGTGGCGGCAACGGCTGCGGCGGCGGCGACAGCGGCGACGGCTGCGGCAGCGACAGCGGCGGCGGCGACGACGAAAGCGGCGACGGCTGCGGCGGCGACGGCGACGGCGGCGGCAGCGGGGTCGGCGACTGCGACAGTGGGGGCGGAGGCACCGGGGAAGGGGGACGCGGCAAGGACGGACCGGGGGTACCACCAGAGTCAGCAGACTCCTCAACGGGGACAACCGACGGGAGGGGAGTGACGTGGGAGACACCAGACGGGGCAGGACGAGGCGGGAGAGGGGCAGGGGCTACCGGGGGAGAGGGAGCAAGGAAAAGGGGGGGGGCAACTGGGAGACCTCGGTGAGGGAAGCGGCGGTAGAAGGAGACGGACTCGTCAAAGGTGACGTCACGAGAGTGGAGGAAGCGGTGAGACGGCGGGTGGTAGAAAAGCCAGTCAGACGAGTCCAGGGGGAAACCGAGGAAGACACAGGGGACAGTGCGGGCAGTGAGCTTGTCCGTGCCAGAGGCACGAACGTGAGCAAGGCAGCCCCAGACGTGGAACGCAGACGCGTCACCGGGGGACCCGGTCCAAAGGAGGGTCGGCGAAACCTGCGGCCGCTGGGAGCGTGGCCACAGGTTAAGCTGGTGAGCCGCGTAGCGAACAGCGAACGGCCACAGAAAATGGGGGGCATCGGCATGGATCATGGAGGTACGGGCGACCTCCATGACCAAGCCGATGCGGCGCTCAGCAACCCCATTCTGCTGTGGCGAGTCCGGCAACGTGTACGACTGGGTGATGCCCTCCGCACGACAGAACTGTCCAAGCCGACCAGAGGCGAACTCGCCGCCACGGTCGGAGTGGAGACACAACACGGGGAGACCGCGGTGGAGACGCGCAGCTACAACCCACGGGAGAAGAACGTCGGGCACGTCGGCCTTCCGCTCCAGGGGAAACACCGTGGTGTAGCGCGTGTAGTCGTCAACGAGCACAAGGAAGTAGCGCTCACCGCGCGGTCCGGGGACGGGGGCAGGGCCCCAAACGTCCAAGTGCAGGGTCTGAAGGGGGGCAGTAGCAGGACGCAGCGATGAGGAGTGAGGAGCACGGCGGAGCCGACCCTCGACGCAAGGCGTGCACGGTGGCGCAGTCGAGGGAGGAAGGGCAGGGAGCGACGCGGGGAGACCTAAGACAAGACCGTGCTGGGACATGTGACGCAGACGCGGGAGAGCAGGGTGACCTAAGCGGTGGTGCCAGAGAAGGGACGGGTGAGTGAGGGACCGACACGAGCAAGCTGCAGCGACCTGGGAGGACGCACCAACCGGGGGGGAAGCGGTGTGTAGGGTAAACAGACCGGACACCGGGTCCCGGGGGAACGTCGCAAGGGGGGAACCTGAGACAGCCTCAGAACAGACAGCGAACCGCTCGTGCCCGGGGAACGTGGTGGTGACGCCGAGGTCCTGGAGACAGCCGACACCAACCAGGTTCCTGGAGAACGAGGGAACGTGGAGGCCAGTAAGGGAGCCCGAGGGAACTGCCGGACAGGGAAGGGACGTAGAACTGCGCGCGACGACCGGACCCGCAGAGGGGTCAGCGAGAGAGACAACAGCAGGTGCAGCAAGCGGCGTGAGCGTGGAACGGTCGCGGAAGAAGCAGGCAGAAGCACCAGAGTCGAGAGTGAAGGACAGCGACGCAGTGGCGGAGGCCGCGGACGGAGCCGGTGCAGCGACTAGACTAGGCAACCTAGGCAGTCCTACGCCTGTCGCAGCAGGGGAAGCTAAGCTACACAAGGGTGAAACACCTAAACTAGAGTACACATGGTAGTAAGATCCATCAACACTAGAAGCGTCAGCATACAAAGCATGCAAAGCAGCACCTATCTGATCCATGTCTAACTCAAAGATCGGCACGCCCTGGCGGAGCAGGCTGTGCCAGTCAGGGAGGTCCGGGGCCGGGCCAAAGCGACGACGAAAAAGATCGTCGAGGCGGCGGAAACAGCGGGCGGTCGGGTGCGGGCGGCGGCACAGAGTGCCGCGGAGAGGCCCGGTCTGAAGCTGGTACTGGCAGGTCACAGCACTGGAGCCGCTGGTAGACGCCAAGCTGCGCGGGCCGCCACCACGGCCACCGCCTCCGGAGGTGCCGGGCCAACCAGGCGGGAGACGAGCCCACGGCTGCGGCGGGTGCTGCTGGGACGGCGGCTGCGGCTGGGGCTGGTCCTGCTGCTGCTGGGACTGCTGCTCCTGCCCACCGGTGGTAGTCCCCTCAGGCGGACTACCGTCACCACCACCACGACCACTACCACCTGCGTCACCACCCCTACCTCCCTGGCGGCCACGGCCACCGCGACGCGAGCGCTGCTGCGGGTGGACAGCAGCAGCCGTCTCGGTAAGAGGGGTCGCCGTGGCGACCGCAGCCGAAACGTCAGTGAACGTGCACGGGGATGGGGCACAACCGTGAAAGATAGAGACTGCCGGCGCACCGCTCGACTGAGCGATAGTGCGCTGGCGAGTCTCGATCTCAGTGAGGGTGTCGACAAAGGCGGTCAGGGTGAGGTCACCCGGGTGCTGGCTAAGAAAGTGGTCGCGAGCACTAGCGAGGCGGTCTGGCAGGCGCATAGCGATAAAATAGAGCGTCATGCAGAAAGGAGGGGGGAGCGCAGTGAGCTGGGCAGCAGTGCTGGCAGTGCGATAGCGAGTCTCTAGGGCACGCAAATGAGTGGCAAAATCTGCGACAGTAGGGAAGGCAGCCAGGTCTGGGAACAGCATCGGAAAGAGCAAGCGGCCAGCAGAAGCGGAGGCAGGGGTGGAATAGCGAGCAATAACGGCGTCTAAATAAGTTTTGGCCATTTCAACAGTAGCAAAACGCGAGCGCTCAGACACAGGGAGGGCGTGACTAATAGCAACCTGAGCTACTGCATCGCGTGAGTCCCAGACCGCACAGGCTAGCGCAGCAGTAGAGAAAGCCTCACGGTCATCAGAGGAGGGGTCAGCAGGGAGGGGAGTAGGTGCAGGGGGACGGGGGAGCAAGCCATCAGCATGGACAACCAGAGAGTGGCCATCCTGGCGCTGACCTGTAAGCTGGCGGCGAAGATCGGAGAGCCAGGCGGCGAAGTCAACCGCGTGGCCCTCAGCGTCCAGGCGGAGCACAAAGTCAGCCATCGTGCAGGGTCAGCGGCACAGCTCCTCAGCGACACAGCGGCACAGCAGCACAGCTCCTCAGCGGCACAGGAGCACAGCGGCGCGGGGACACGGCGGCAGCACTCTCCAGTAGGGCAGCAGCTAGGCGTCCCAGCGCAGGCAAGCAGAAGACACAGGGCCCGAGAGGACACGGCAGGCCGAGCAGGGGAGGCGGGCAGGTGCTCTAGGGCCGGGCTGGTGCTGGGAGGGGCCAGGCTGGTGCTGCTGGGGCCGGTCGGGCACGAGGAGGGGCCGGGCAGCGCTGAGGAGAGGCCGGGCGGCGCTAGGAGGGGCCGGGCGGCACTAGGAGGAGGCCGGGCGGCACTAGGAGGAGGCCGGGCGGCACTAGGAGGAGGCCGAGCGGCACTAGGAGGAGGCCAGGCGGGCGAGCGCTAACAGCAGGCGCGACAGGGGCCAGCGGGCGCGACGGGGCCTAAGGGGCGCGACGGGGCCCAGCGGGCACGACGGGGCCCAGGGGGGGCGCGACGGGGCCGCGGAGGCGCGACGGGGACCAGCGGGCACGACGGGGCCCAGGGGGGCCGCGACCTGGCTTAACGGGCGCGACGGGGCCCAGGGGGGGCGCGACGGGGCCTGGCAGGCGCGACGGGGCCTAGGAAGCGCGAAGGGGCCCAGCGGGCGCGACGGGGCCTAGGAGGGGCGCGACGGGGCCGAACGGGCGTGACGGGGCCCAGAGAGGGGGGACGCGACGGGGCTTAGGAGGCGCGACGATGCCTAGGAGGCACGACGGGGCTCAGCGGGCTCGACGGGGCCCATGGGGGGCGCGACGGGGCCTAGGAGGCGCAACGGGGCCCAGCGGGGGCGCGTTAGGGCCTAGGGGTCGCGACGGGACCCAGTGGGCGCGACGGGGCCCAGGGGGAGCGCGACGGGGCCTAGGAGGCGCGACGGGGCCCAGCGGGCACGACGGGGCCCAGGGGGGGCGCGACGGGGCCTAACGAGCGCGACGGGGCCCAGGGGGGGCGCGACGGGGCCTAGGGGGCGCGACGGGGCCTAGGAGGCGCGACGGGCGGAAGCGGTAGGCGGGGGGATCCTAACCTAAGCGTGATACCATGTTAACGTAGAAACGAATGATTACTAGAGGTGGAAACCTAGAACAAATACTAGTTGGTTGTACTCACTAGAAGCATACCTCAGTCTAGCCTATAACTTCTACATAGATAATATGTATAAGTTGACAGAGCAGCCTACCCGCTTTCCGCCTTGTACGGCCAAAGAGCTTGCATTGGGCGTCCAGGAGAAGAAGGCCATGGAGGAATCGAAGGCTACGTATGCCTGGTAAATACACAGTCAAGGCCATGCATGCACGTAATATCCGGCGGTTCTCAGCTGATTGAGCAGCTGACCCGCTTCCTGCCTGGAATGGGCGAACATCTTGGGGTTCCAGGAGAAGTAAGCCATGGAGGGGTGGTTGTAGTGGATTTCCACAAAGAGCTCGTCTATCACCCGAGGCATGATGGGGGACTCCAGCCAGGCTGCAAGAAGAGAAGGAGAAGCACACAGAGCAGAGGCGAGAGGAAAGGGGAAAAAAAAGGTATGCCATGGAGGGGTGGTTGTGGTGGATCCCCACTAACAGCTCGTCTTTCACCCGAGGGATGAGGAGGGACTCCAGCCAGGCTGCAAGAAGAGAGGATTGGAGAGAAAGAGAGACCATAAGTAGGCTATGGAGGGGTGGTCGCATCCTCCACAAACAGCTCGTCTAACAAACGAGGCATGAGCGGGGACGTGAGCCAGGATGCGAGAACCCAGGAAGGAAGGGCACGGGGGGAGGGGGGGTGGAGATGCATGCCATGGAGGGATGGTTGCACTCGACTTACTCCATCCATCTTCACCACCGCACAGTCATCGGGTGGTGGGGATTGCATTGCATGTACCCTACGCTTACACCTTTCCCCTGTGCCTCGATCCTCCATTTCACCTCGTCTTGTCTTACTATCACATAGTCAGCGGGTGGTGGGGGTTGAATGTAACTTGACTGCATCCACTGTGCTTGCCTGTCTCATCCTTGAATGTGTCCCGCTCCCCTCCCTCTATATCCATCTTCACCACTACAGAGCCCTCTGCTGCGCTGCGTGTTGCACCTGTATCTCACATGTATCACTCTTCACGTGTTACCCCTCCACTGCTCACCTTTTAATATTTCCCACTCGGCACCCTCTATATCCATCTTCACCACCACTGAGTGCTCAGGTGAGGCGCACTACACATGTATCTCACACCGCATATGTAGCACTCTTCACCTTTGGAGATGTCCCACTCCGCGCCCTCTATGTCCACCTTTGTTCCTATGCCTTAACGGTTGTGGCTCCGATGTACCTCGCCCTCTCACCTTTGAATATGTCCCACTCCGCGCCCTCGATGTCCATCTTCACCACCACAGAATCCTCTGGCGTCAGCTTGAGCTCCTCCAGCAGCCACCGCGTCACATTCACCACGTTCTGTGGAGGGTAAGGAGGGGGGGGAAGCAAGCAGCACACATGAAGGCAAACCACAGCCATCACAGCGTGTGCCAGTGTTCCTGCAGGCCCGTGGCGTCAGCTTGAGCTCGTCCAGCAGCCAGCGCGTCACGTTCACCACGTTCTGTGCAGGGGAGGAGAGGGCAGGGGAGGGGAGGGGAGAGGAGGAGAGGGGAGGGGAGGGGAGGAGAGGCGAGGGGAGGGGAGGGGAGGGGAGGAGAGGGGAGGGGAGGGGAGGGGAGGGGAGGGGAGGAGAGGGGAGGGGAGGGGAGGGGGGGAGGCCAACCACAGTCAAAGCATGCGCCATTCATCACGTTCTGTGTAGGGGGACGGAGCAGAGGGGAGGGGACGGAGCAGGTGGGAGGCGACAAGTCAAGGGGGCAGCGAGCAAGCAGTGGGAAATGTGATCAGCCAAAACCCTGACCTTCATCCCCCCTAGTGCGTAACCCACCTGCGCCGCGTTATCCCTAGCAGCTGCTTTGAACCGGTGGGAATGCACTCTCGCCAGCAGCCAGGCAGGGAGGCGTTCAGGCCCCCAACTTCACTCGAGCACGCTTCAGCTCATGCCCCTTCTCCCTTCACTCACCTGCGCCGCGTTATCCCAAGCAGCCGCTTTGAACCGGTGGGAATGCACTCTCGCCAGCAGCCAGGCAGGGAAGACGGCAAAGCTCTAGCCACTACTCAACTCATCCCGCACGACAGCTTGCCACCTCACCTGCACTGCATTATCCCAAGCAGCCGCCTTGAACCGTTGGGAATGCACTCTCGCCAGAAGCCAGGCAGAGAGGCGTTCAGGCCCCCACCTTCACTCTAGCCCGTTTCAGCTCATGCCCCTTCTCGTCTTGAGACGTCTCGAAACTACATTCTCGCCAGCAGCCAGGCAGGGAGGCGTCCAGGCCCTAGCTTCACTCTAGCCCGAATCAGCTGATGCCCCTTCTCCCTTGACTCACCTGCGCCGCCTTATCCCAAGCAGCAGCTTTGAACCGGTGGGAATGCACTCTTGCCAGCAGCCAGGCAGGGAAGTCAGCTGGGCCCTTGCCGATGGGCCTGAGGCGACTGCGATGGTTCATCTCGCCCCGTACGGTCTGAGGAGGGTAGGGGGTTACGGGATGGTTGAGGGAATGGGAGAGAATGGGAGAGAAGGGGAGAGAAGTTTACTCTGCCCCTGCCGAGAGGCCGCAGGCGGCTGCGATGATTCCTCTCGCCCCATAGGGTCTGAGGGGGGGTGGGGGGCTACGGGATGGTTGAGAGAGAATGGGAGAATGGGAGAGAAGGGGAGCAGCCATTCAGGAAGCCCGCAGGGCCCTTGTTGAGAGGCCAGAGGCGACTGCGATGATTCATCGCGCCGTGTAGGGCCTGAGGGAGAGTAGGTGAAGTGAAAGAGGAGGGGGAAAGAAGAAAAAGAGGAGGAAGGAGGCAAAAGAAAACATGCAGTGAGCGGCATTATCTCCGCCCCTGCCGAGAGGCCGCAGGCGACTGCGATGGTTCGTCTCGCCCCGTAGGGTCTGAGGGGGGGTGGGGGGTTACAGGAGGGGGGAGAGAGGAGGGGAGAGAGCGGGAGCAGAAAAGCAAGAGGGGAAGTCAGCTGGGCCCTTGTTGAGAGGCCTCAGGCGGCTACGATGGTTCATCTCGGCCCGTAGGGTCTGAGTGAAATATATGGAAGAGGAGGGAGAAGGAAGAAAGAGGGGAGAGAGCACGCAGTGAGGGGAGGCCTCAGGCGCCCCGTGAGGCCTGAGAGAGTGAGGCAATGGAAGAAGGTAGGGGGTGACTTCTGAGTCGACTCGAAGTCACGTCGCCCTGTAGGGCCTAAGGGAGTACGGGGCTATGGAAGAAGATAGGGGGTTACGAGAGGCGGGGCAGGAGGCAAACAAAGGGAGGAAATGAGGCAGGGAGGCCATTTGAGGCATCAACCAAGCCGCTTCTAAGGCGCCTCACACACCTGAGGGGGGTACGACTTGAGGAAACGCAAGACGCGCTCGTGCTCTCCCCTCTTCCCCCGCCCCCATCGTTCGCCCTCACCTTGTTGCCTGCAGCAGGCACCTCAAAGACCCCCTGCCGCACTTCCACGGCGTGGATCTCAGTGAAGTCGAGCGGGTACGACTGCAGGAACCACGTGACGCTCGTGTTGAAGAACCTCGCTCCCAGGTCGATCAGCACGCGCCGTTTCCTGGGAAGGGAGCCATGGTGCGGGGAGAGATGGTGTGGGGAGAGATGGTGTGGGGAGAGATGGTGCGGGGAGAGATGGTGCGGGGAGAGATGGTGCGGGGAGAGATGGTGCGGGGAGAGATGGTGCGGGGAGAGATGGTGTGGGGAGAGATGGTGAGAGGGAGAGAGGTGACGAGTGAGAGGGAGCAAAAGTTCATCCTCGCAAAGTCCAGCAGGCGCGACTGCAGGAACCAGACGGCGCGCGCGTTGAAGGACGTCACTCCCTGGTGTATAAGGAAGTGGAGCAAGGCAACGAGGAGAGGAGACCAGGCAGAGGTGACTGCTGAATTGACGCACTGAAGGGGGATCCAGGTGGCGCGCGCGTTGAAGGACGTCGCTCCCTGGTGTATAAGGAAGTGGAGCAAGGCAACGAGGAGAGGAGACCAGGCAGAGGTGACTGCTGAATTGACGCACTGAAGGGGGATCCAGGTGGCGCGCGCGTTGAAGGACGTCGCTCCCAGGTATATCAGCCAGTTCCAGGAGAAGGAAGGCGGGAGTGGAAGGGGAGAGAACGTTTGGAATGGTGACGAGTCAGCGGGAATATTCCCGAATCCGCGAGCACAGACCCCGGCAGCGCTTCTGGAACCACCAACCATCAATTGGCTCACCCGGTGCTCAATGTGGGGCCCAAGACGGCGCTAAGAGTGCTTTTGAGTCGACTCAAAAGAAGATCCCAGCAGTCCTACTGATACCACCAACCACCAATTGACTCACCCGGAGCTCATCCTGACGGCCCTAAGTGTCGGCACGATCTGCGTCTTGTCGTCCGCGTCATCCATGAGCGAATCCGAGAGCACAACCCCTGCACAGCCTTGCACAGAGGTACCAGCAAGCACAGCAGGGACTCACTTGGCGCGCATTGCTGGGTCTGCGTCTTGTCCTCCGCGTCGTCCGCGAATCCGAGAGCACAGCCCCCAGGCAGCCCTGCTAGCGTTACCAGCCAGCACTGCAAATACTCACTTGGTGCTCAATGCCGGGTCGAGGACGGCCCTCAGCGTGGGCAGGATCTGCGTCTTGTCCTCCGCGTCGTCCACGAATCCGAGGACGTAGCCGCGGCGGAAGTTCAGGTGCTCATCCAGCTCCTCTATAGGCAGACCCGCTACTGGGCACGGCGACATGCGTGGCATCCACTGCGAAGGGCAGTTAAGTCAATTAAGAAAAAAACGCGCGTAGTCGTGCCTTCTGAGTCGAATCAAAAGTCACCTCGTAGTCATGACTGTGAGAAAAACTCGTTTGAGGATTCAATATAAACAGTTCTAGAATCGGACGCAGGTGTGGATTGGCGAGTCGAGTGTGGACGCGTGTGAAGAGGAGACCAATTCACAATCATGCAATGCGGGGGGATGGTCGAGCAACGGAACGCGGAGGGAAGGTAGAGAAAGGGAGCGCGGAGGAAAGGCGGAGGGGGTGGTGGCTTTCGACGGCCGAGCGAAGTCCTTCCGAAGGAATCTATCTGTGGCGAGATCCTATCGAATGATTCGCGGATGAGGACCCGACCAATTGTCAAATGAGTCTGGAAAGAAATTTGAGACTGAAATGTGAGTCTCGTTTTGCTCGTCCGATACTGTAGCAAATAAAATCGGACCGAAATCGGTTCCAATTCTGATGTCAATGTCCGAACACTGACGGCGTGAGGGGATCATGCGCACCGAGCTCAGCGCAGCTGACGGCGTGCATAGTAGTAGAGTCAACTGATTCCGTAAATGCTACAAGTACTAAGCAGCTCGGTCGAGAGCCAACATATGAGAGCCGCGATCACAAGACAAAAAGGATAATCGATAATCGCGACCTTGAAAAGCAGCGAGGTTTATGGGTAGTCTCCTACCTTGCTCGACGCCCATGGATCGCCCGCATTGCCAGCGTCGCCTCCCACCGATGGCTTCGAGATCCAGTCGCGACACTCTTCGCCAGAGTACTCGATCCGCACGCCATCCGTCGATCCGAAACCCGACGATTGCAACGCGGCCGTAATCCACGGCGGAGGCTGCGCCACGTGTAACGCGATTGAGATCGCAGCGACTGTGGTGGCGAGCACCGCCCAAGCGAGCGTGAGGCAAGAGGCGACGCCGAAAGTGCTAGCCGCACGGGCTGCCTTGATCTGCGGGCTGCTGGGGGCGGGAGATCTGCCGGGTTTACCGCTAAGGGGGTTGCCGGGTGCGATGACGGGCATAAGGATCTGCGACTCGTCCGCTTGGGGTTCAGCGGCATCGTTGCGGTATCTCTGCTTCGCGCTCTGCATTGCGGCGTTGCACTGCAGCTGCTGCCGAGTAAGAAATACCTGATGAATAAATTAGTACAGAGCTGCTGACCTCTACTTAATACCTGACGAGTAAATTAATACAATGAGTTGCTGACGAATAATTAATACCTGACGAATGAACTAATACTAGAGCTGCTTTCTGCCCGTTGGTCCTGCCGGGACTACGGTTCTAATTGCCAGCAGTAGGTGGTAAAAACAATTCGTGCATATACTGCCTGCACTTCCGTGAAATCCGTCAGGCGGCAAACAACGTGAGCGTGAGCGATTGACTACGACGCAGTCTGGAATGTGCTGAGTATGGGAGACATGATGATGGAGGAGTCGTAAGGTCTTGCTTAGGGTGTATTCTTAGCTGTGTCAAAGGTTGGGAAAAGGTCATCCGTTAACTTCTTCTGTATCCTGGCACTAAATTAAATCTTGAAATCTGCAAATACTCCCTCATACAGTACCGAGAAGAGAAGCTGATATTCGTAGGGGTACTCGCCTCGCCAATCGAAAGTGGTGGACACAACAGGAGGCTGTCCCTGCATATATCGTCACTAGCATACTCGCATGTAACGCCATGACCCAGAGCTACCACCACATACGTTCAAAACGTTTTCGTACGGTGCGTGATGCTTGAAGCTGGGGACAAAAGGCTGGGGACAAAAGACTGGGGGCCAAAATTGATGCCATAGACCCAAAAAGAGGCAACAAGGCTGGCCTTCGCTCCGCAACCTTCCCGCTTCCAACGGGCGAAATTCCAGCGAATCACAGTAAACCAAATGGGTCAGGGAAAGGCGCGGTGTGGCGGCAAAACCTTGTGTGTCAGAACCGAACCACATCGAACGGGCGCCTTCTGGTGATTGCTCCGGGCGCCGAACGTACACAACAGGCTGGAGCAAGAGAAGCACGAATCATCCTGGCTGTACATGCTTTTGGCTTGTGCAATACAAGGAACGTGAGAATCGACTGTAGTGAGAGATTAGGGAGAAAGCCAAAAGGAATAGGTATATAAATGCAAGGAAGCATCAAGAATATTGCTTCATTTTTGCCATCTTCACTTCTCCACCCCCTCTTGAGACTAATTAGATCCTTAAACAAGAGATAAAAAAAAGTGAACCAACACACGGCTTTTTTTGCGAATGTATTCCAAACCAAACCAATCCTTCCACAAAACACAAGTGTAGCGCATACCTATCAATGTCATTCATGTAAATGTACAACTGGATGCTAGTGTTAACGTTCATATATATATATATATATTATGAAGTATACAAACTATAGCCTAGCTAGGGTTCAGGCTTATAGAAGGTACATTGTTAGATATACCCGACTGTCTTGCCCCCTCTAGTCAACTTTTATGTCGACTTGGTACAGAGCTAGATCTCGCTCTTAGCCGTCACGCTTCCGCCCTAGGCGCTACCCACTCCACTCCCCTCCCACCCTAGCTTACCTCCTTATTTTAGGTTAGGCTTTCGTCTGTCGCTCTTGTCTGCGACCTAGCCTATGCTTTAGTCTTAGCCACTACCCTGCCTTCGCGCTACCCGCATTTCGCCGCTGCCAGCCTACCACTCGCCTCTGCTAGCACGCCAGCTAGCCGCTGCCAGCTCGCCGCTCGCTCTCTGCTGGCCACCACCAGCCTGCCGCCAGCTCGCTCGCGACCAGCTCGCCGTCAGCAGCCGCCGCCAGCTAAATGCAGCCAGCAGTGCGCTAGTCGCTGCCAACTCGCTGCCCCCCTGCCGCCGCCAGCGGCTTGCTAGCAGCTCGCCACAGCCGCCACAGCCGCCAGCAGCGCGCTGGCCACTGCAAGCTCGCCGCCAGCTTGCCACCGCCAGCAGCTACCTAGCAGCTCGCCGCCTCCAGCACATTGCACCGAGCTTGCTGCCAGCCAGCTCGCCAGCCAGCCAGCCACCGCCAGCCAACCAGCTAGCCGCCGCTCGCTAGCCGCCGCTCGCCAGCCGCCAGCCAGCTCGCCAGCCAGCTCGCCAGCCAGCTCGCCAGCCAGCCAGCCAGCCGCTCCCGCCAGCCGCTCCCGCCAGCCGCTCCCGCCAGCCAGCCGCTGTCAGCCAGCCAGCCAGCCGCCGGACAGCTAGCCAGCCGCCAGCCAGCTCGCCAGCCACCCAGCCACCGCCAGCCAGCCAGCCAGCCAGCTAGCCACCGCTCGCCAGTCGTCAGCCAGCTCGCCAGCCACCCAGCCGCCACCAGCCAGCCAACCGCTCCCGCCAGCCAGCTAACCAGCCGGCTGCCGTTAGCCAGCTAGCCAGCTGCCAGCCAGCTAGCCGCCAGCTAGTCAGCCAGCCAGCTATCCAGCCAGCCGCCAGCCAGCCAGCTACCAGCCAGCCAGCCAGCCACCAACCAGCTACTCGCCAGCCAGTCACCCAGCCGCCAGCCAGCTCCCCAGCCAGCCAGCCAGCCAGCCAGCCGCCGCCAGCCAACCAGCCGCTCCCGCCAGCCCACTAGCCAGCCAGCCAGCCGTCAGCCAGCTAGCTGCCAGCCAGCCAGCCAGCCAGCCGCTAGCCAGCTAGCCGCCAGCCAGCCAGCCGCCAGCCAGCTAGCCGCCAGCCAGCCAGCCGCCAGCCAGCCAGCCGCCAGCCAGCTAGCCAGCCACCAGCCAGCTAGCCGCCAGCCAGCCAGCGCCAGCCAGCCAGCGCCAGCCAGCCAGCCAGGTACCAGCCAGCCGCCCGCCAGCAGCCAGCCAGCCGCCAGCCGCCCGCTGCTCCCTGCGGCTTGCAGCCCGCTGTAGCCACCCACTATCTCTCGCTTGCAGCCCGCTTCCGGCCCGCGTGCGCATGCTTGCCACCCGCTGCTGCTGCCAGCTGCCTGCTCTCTGCTGCTCAACCCGAAACCAGCCGGCTGCCAACTGCCAGCCACCTGCTAGCTGGCTCTGCCACCAGCCTGCCGCTAGCCGCTCGCTGCCGCTGGCCTGCCGCTTGCTGCCGCTGCCACCAGCCTGCCGCTAGCCACCACTGCCACTAGCCTACCGCCACAGTCGCCACAGCTCTAGCAGCTATAGCTACTACCACTGCATATGCTACGGCCGCCGCACTGCTCCTGCTGCCACTGCTGCCTCTTCGGCCGCCGCTGCCGCTACAGCCGCCGCCGCCACCGCTGCTTCATAGCCGCCGCCGCCGCTTCAGAGCTGCTGCCGCCGCATCAGCGCTGCTGCCACCGCCGCCCCCACTGCCACTCCCACCGTCCATGCTCCTTCAGCCCCTAGCGCCTCCCAGTAGTCTCCTCCTCGTTTCCGGAGTTCCTCGCCGCCTTCTCTCTCGGCATGACGACCTCGTCCGAGTCTGTCCCTCGGCTGGATGCCGAAGGGCGGCCAATCAACTTCGCTCTCTAGCTTCTCGCTCTCCGCCGACAGCTGGTAAGCCAGCACATGGACTGCGAACTCCTGGAGGCCTATATTACTGGTGAGCTCATTGCACACCTCCACGTCCTAGAGGTACGCTACTAGCCTGCCTGCCCCGAGCTGCAGCAACAGGAGCCACAGCAGCATCAACAGCAGCAGCAGCAGCTGCCACAGTAGTAGCAGCAGCAGCAGCAATCGCCGAAGCAGCACCAGCAGCAGTAGTGGGGGCCCTGGGGGTATTGGGCCCGGTGCAGGTCCTGGAGGCAGGGGCAGTGGCTGCCCTGGGGCCCGCATGGTCTCTGTGGAGGCCTGGGGGTCTAAGGGCCTAGCGGTCTAGGTCCCACTGTTGTGTGTAGTCTAAAAGCCTCGGCTACGTGTCCACTCGGCCCCTCCCCTGCTCCTACAACGGTAGCCCTCTCCTTCACACTGGACTGTGGCGCGTCTCACTGCTTCTTCCGCAACCGCACTGCAGTCACTCCATTTCCTACACCTGTACCAGTCTCCGTAGCTGACTCGCCTGCCGCAGTCGTCGCTCACAGTACCCCCACTCTCCCTTGTCCGGCTGTCCCGTCTGGCTCCCTTCCCGGCTTGCATATCCCTACGTTTTCTAAGAACCTGGTTGGTGTCGGCCATATCCAGGACGTCGGTGTCACCACCTTGTGCCTTGGGCGCGAGGGATACGCAGCTTGCACGGATGCTACCATGTGCGCCCGTCTTGCCACCGTTGACCGTGACCAGAGTCCCCCCAGGTAGCTGCGTCCACACAGGTTGTCGCGTCCACTCAGGTTGCCGCATCATGGTCTCGTCGCTCCACTGCTTAGGTCACCCTGCTCTCCTACCATGTTTCACTAGTCTTCCCGCATCGCTCCCCGCCCTCCCCCCCTCCCTCGCGCCCACGTGCACCTCCTGCATTGAGGGCCGACAGCACGCCGCCCCTCAATCCTCCTCATTTCCTCCCACTACTGCTCCTTTACAAACTCTGCACATGGAAGTCTGGGGCTGAGAAAGTGCGACAAAAGTTGGAAGAGCCTGTGCTTCGATGGGAAAATGCTCACAAAACTCGTACTTGGGGCAAAAGTTGAAACGCCATAGCTCCCAAACCATTTGGATTTTGGACATGTGAGTCAAGCTGCATGCTCTAGAGACCATGCACTAACTAGCCATGCAAAAAAAAGGGGCTTAGGGCAAGCTGAGAAACTACGACAAAGGTTGGAAGAGCCTGTGCTTTGATGGGAAAATGCTCACAAATCTCGTACTTGAGGCAAAACTCGTACTCGGAGAGCGCTTCTTCCTGGTTGTTGTCGACAACTTGACGCAATTTCTCATGGTTTTCCCGTTGGAGTGGAAGGCCGAAGTGTCTGACGCCCTCCTCCCGTGGCTCCGTGTCGTCCGCACCTGGCTCTCCCTGCATATGCTCCATATTCACTCCGACCGTAGTGGCGAGTTCGCCTCCGGTCGTCTCGGTCGGTTCTCTTGTGCGGAGGGCGTCATCCAGACGTTCACTCTTTCGGACTCGCCATAACAGAATGGGTAGCTGAGCATCACATCGGCTTGTTCATGGAGGTGGCTCGCACCTCCATAATCCATGCCGGTTCACCCCATTGTCTGTGGCCGTTCGCGGTGTGCTACACGGCTCACTAGCTTAACCTGTGATCTCGCTCCTCGCACCCACAGGTTTCGCCGACCCTCCTCTGGACTGGGTCTCCCGATGACGTGTCGACGTTCCATGTGTAGGGATGACTGGCTCACGTCTATGCCCTCGGCGCGGACAAGCTCTCAGCTTGCACTGTAACATGTGTCTTCCTCGGGTTTCCAATCGATGCTCCTGGCTAGCTGCTCTATCACCGTGGACACCACCGCTTCTTTCGCTCTCGTAACGTTACGTTCAACTAGGCCGTCTCCTTCTACGCCTGCTTTTCTTAACTTGGCGCTCGTGTTCCTCCTCCACCTCTCTTCCTTGCCCCTCCTCCGCCTGCAGCTCCCCTCCCACCTCGCTCGGCCCCGTCTGGTGTCTCCCATGCCACTCCCCTCCCTTCGATTGGGCATGTGGGGGAGTCTGCTCACTCTGGAGGCCCCGTGGCTGGGGGTGCGCCTGCCGCAGC